GACAGCGCATGATATGGAATATTTGGATCAGGTCAACACTTAGCTGTCTGTAACTCAGAAGAAAAAGTCCGAGATTGGCAACCGTGTTTCGCAGATTAGTGAACCCTATTCACTAAGCAAACCTCACCAACACTGAACAAGACACTTGTCATCTCTGCCCTAAATGGTGCAAGTCCAGCACAAATAAAGTTCGTTCTAGGCTGTCACATGGCAGTCAATCACAACCTCGTACTAACCGACTGCATCAGGTCAGCGGACTTGCTGGAGCGCTATACACATATATTTATATAAGTAGCCGTCCTCAGCGACACATATGAAAATGCTGTCTATCCTCTTCTCTTCAATATGTTTTTACGCATGCTTAGTATCTGGTTGCAGTAGCTATAAAGGTAAGTCTGGGGCAATTGAAAACCTCAGATTTCACTATCATGTTCTTTCAACTATGTGATATTTTTCACTGCGCAATTGACAAATACCCGAAAAAACCATGTAAATCGACTTATGCCTGTCATTCACTCAACAGATCATCAAATCAATCAGCTAAACCGTCAGATCGCAGGGTTAGCTGTGTCTGTTCATGTATTTCCACGAAAATGCCAAAAAGGCAAACAATACCGTTGTTCAATGGACATAATTTTCAAAATATTAGGTACAGTAACACGCCTTAACTGTTTTGAATTTTTTACGTTTAAGCGGAATACTAGCTAGAAATCACTGGCTTATCTCTTTTTGCCCCGATTCTAAATTGGCAGGTTTGCGCCTCTTCCAAGTGGCAGACCAACTATCGACAGTTGTGAAATCATACATGTCTTCCTCCTCAACAAAATACACCAGGCTCAAAACAAGGCAGGAACCTCTTTGCCAAAGTCGTCCTGAAAGTGTTCAGTTCAGTAACGAAAGTACCTGCAACCTGGTTAGAACAGAGCTGCAAAAGCCGTCTTCCCAACATCTTTGTGAATTGCACATTGAGTTCGCAAATGTAAGCTTTGGCTGTCAGGTACGTGCGCCCTTTTCTCCGAATATATGAATTTTTTTTCAGATTGAAGGACTCGGGGAAGTTAGCAGGCAGATTTTTAGCTTCCACAACATACCAGTGCAAATCACCGTGATTGTTCGTCGTTACCAACCCAGACCCTGTCTGCATATTTACTCTGGACTTACATTTCCTCAGCACATAAAGCACTATAATGACTTCTACTATAGCCTCTGGTTGCCAGAAGAGGTTGAAATAAATCTGCTGACCGTTCTGGGAAGTGCACTTATGTCCGGTTTTCCCGTCCAATGTGTTATCTAAGATGCTTTAGGCGGAAAGACTGTGAAATTTCCACCAAATAAGTGAAGACATTCCTCCTGTCTTTTAATAAAAAGCATATAAAGCCCCTTTATGATTTGCTTGTCGGTTTCGCTATATCCGCACAGAATTTGCAGGAGAAAGGGAAAAAACCCTTGGTGTGACTTTTAAGGCGACTAGCCTCTGCTTTTGACCTTGGAGTTAAAAGTTAACGATTAAATGCAGTGCTGGGTATACCTTTGGGGTGTAAGCCTACGTACGAGGGGTCTGTGTTTACACCTCCAAGCAATAATAGTAGTGGTGATGGTGGTTCAGTACAGTTTATTTGAGGGATACGGAAGAATTGAACATTTAAACGCCATATTTGCTACAATTAAAGGAAGTGCTTCAAAAATCTGAAAAGAAAACAAAAACAATACAGAAATTCATGGAAACCAGACAAATACACAAATTATGCAAGTGTTATAAAAATAATAATAATTTTATTTAATGCCAGTTTATAGGCATTGTCAAGTGAAGCGCTTAACAGAAATCCGTCCAGCAGGGAAAAAAACTATTGCAGGAAAGGATAAAAAATAAACATGATGGCGTTTTATACGGTTTGAGGGTTCAGGAGAAAAGACCGCTGGCAGCAGACATTCGACCTTCAAGAAGAGGGGGGAGCGTTGCACGGTATCGGAGATTATCTGACGTCAAATTACTTTCATGAAGTTGAGGATAGTCAAAGAAGAGGCGTTGAGGAGCAGCTGGTGAGACCGGCCATAGTGTTCAGAGACCGCAAACGCCATCGATACGGCAGAGTCGATCAGTGGATTCAGAACCCAAAATTTGAGGAAGCTTTTCTGAATGCAAAAATTGAGAAATAGTTCTCTTAACTAAAGGAAAATTCTGCAGAGTTTTCCCACTCATGGGTAGTTCATTCCAAATAGCGATTGCATTTACAGAAAAGAACCGACGATATTAAACTGTACGTGCCAGAGGCAGAAATAAAAAGACCTCACGGTGACTGTTACGTCTTGGGTGGATATGATGTCTTAAAGAGGTGAGTGGGTTAAATGTGTTATTATATAAGAGTTTAAATAGCAAAAATAGTCCCTTTTGTAATGTGTGGAACCATAAAGGATCAAGGCCCGTAAGTCGGTAACGTTCTTTGTAATACAAATTTCGGTGCTCTGGGGTTAAAATTCTCTTGGTAAAAAAGTGTTTAACGGATTCTATGTTTTTCCGCTCAGTAGCACACATGAGACTAAATAAAAACGAAAAGTATTCCACACCAGGTCTAACGTACATGTTGTAAATGCGCATCCTGATGTCCCTAGTTTTAAAGTTTCGGAGGATAAACCCTGTCGTTCTACGTGCTTTGGAGACTATCAAGGCACAGTGCTCCGCGAGATTGAGACTCTTGGAGTATGATATGCCCAGATCCTTAGTAACCCTGGGCACACTTATGGAGTGACCTTCAATATTAAGTTGAGGTTGGTGGTCGTCGCCAAACACCATGACTGAACACTTATGCCAAGAAAGATAAAGGCACCATGTGCGGCACCACTGGGCGAAAGCCTGTAGATCGCTCTTTAGGAGCTGAAGCACGATGTCACGATCTGCCGGCCTACATCGGTATGCAACTTTAAGATCATCGGCATACATGAAAGGCTTACCATTCTGAAATAAATCGGGTACATCATTAACGAAAAGGCAAAATAAAAGTGGGCCGAGTACACTACCCTGAATGACTCCACTCCTCACACGTGTGGGGTTGGAGATAGTATTGGAAATCTTAACTCGTTGTGTACGAGTGCCCAGGTAAGAGGATTTAAAATTCAAAAGTCCGGTGAATTGTCCTTCGCATCCAGAACCTGTGCTTGCTCTACCTTCGCCTCGAGCCAACGACCAGCAAAGCGTAAATACCGCAAAAAGTGTCAGGTACGAAGACGAGCCTTGTGGTGGGTGCGCAGATATTCAAATCAAAGTAGAACAACTGGAAAAGGAGCTTGCTGATTTAAGGACGCTCGTGAAACAGACCGTAGTCGGCCAGAACATGTCCAGTTTTAGAATCCCAAAAACGAAGAGCTAAACGCAAAAAAGCGAAAAAATATCTCCTCGGGAAATCTTCAAACACGAGTAGCAACTCAACTGCCAAAACAGCAGACGCCGGTAACAGCAAGACAATGAAAATGAAGTCGCCGATAAAGGCAGACTCGATTCCCACGCACGATGTCTTAAGCGATGTCGCAAAAAAATTGCCTGTCGCGGAAGCCATCTCACCTAAGCCTCTTGCTGTAAGTGATGGGATTTCTGTTATGCCTGGAAACGATATACCTGGGTCATCCAGTCTACTGTTGCCCTCTTGTTCTGGCAACCACCCGAGCGCACTACAGAGCACGTATCTGAATGCGAAGGCATAAACCCGTGGGTAGAAGGGAGAGGGAAACGCCATGACAGGATTCTGAAGCCACAGCCAGCCCTGATGGGTTGCTCGGGACAGTCGATAGACAGTAAAAGTGTGCGTCCAAGCCATGACTCCGTAAATCGTCCTCGCCCACATGCATCGCATTCTCTGGAAAGGTAGAGTATGGAGGACCATGCTCGCCAGCAGTGTCTGGTTATTCAGGATTTATCAGAATCGAATGCAGTCAGACCTGAAGACCGTGTCTCAGAGGACCTTGCTTCTTTTCATTGTCTGCTAAATCATTTACCGCCGGCAGACATGGAAATAAAGAATCTGAAAGCATTCCGGATAGGAAAAAGGCGTGAAGACAGGACAGTAGCACAACCACCTCGCCCTCTCAAAATTATGCTGGAGAACAAAAAGCAAATCCAGTTTATCCTCTCTAAAAAAACCGATCTCAGAAACACACAAAAGCTGGTTTTTTTCAAACGGACTATTCACCAGCGGAACGGTTGAAACGCCGGGAACTTGACTTGGAGTTAAAATCAAGACTGAAGGATGGCGAACACAATTTGGCTTTCTTCAAGGGGAAGGTAGTTCGGAAATATATACCGTTTCAGTGGAACCAGCCTGTAATACTACAAACGACGACATCTGCTCAGCTAAAACAGACACCTTCGTTGAACAACCTGATCAAGGCGCCAACAAAAGTGAGCCCGTAGCGTCCAGTGATCTGACTCAAACAAGGCATGTAAATGGAACCAATCAGGTAACGGAAGAGCCTAGAGAACACGACGTCCACGATAACGGTGTAATGCTCACAGCAGTAACAAATGCGATGGGAAATTCGGCTGGTGCTAAACTGAGGTGCTTGTACACGAATGCCCAAAGCCTCATATCGAAACTAGAGGAACTAAAACTTTGCCTTGCTGAGCTGTCTCCAGATGTTTTAGCAGTAACTGAGACCTGGCTGTCCGGGAATATTAACGATAATGAAGTAGCCTTGCCTGTATACCAAATTTATCGGAGGGACAGGGAACATCGTCAGGGTGGTGGTATCGTTGTGTATGTGAATGACGGTCTGGGGTGTAGGGGTGTCAGCGGTGGGTTCACGTAATGGTCGTGGTGGTCGCTCACTTGCTTGCAGGTGAGACTGCGCCTAGCGTCCACTTGCTGGCACTCAACTCTCACCTGTGGCTCCACGTAGCTGGGCTCTGCTCAGCGGCCACACCCCGGGCAACCGTCTCGACCGGCGGGCTAAACCAGGTGAGGGGGCCCTGTGCGCTGTGCCGTGTGCACAGGGTTTGCGGATTCCGCTGGATGGAAGGTCGGATGGAACCTTGCGTCGGCACCGTCGTGACGTGGTCCGTCTCTGCACGTCGCTCGACAGCCGGTGATGGGATGGATCTCCACATCGACACCGCCTTGACGCGCCCACCTTCGCCGACGGAGACCGCGGCTTACGGCGAATTCGAGTCGCTCTCCACTACAACCCGAATTCGTGGTCCCATAGTGGAGTTCGGCCGTGCCACAACGGCACATGGCAGCCCTATTCAGGGATGGCACTGCCAGCCCCCACGAGGGGAAGGGCCTAGAAAAGGTGGCCTAAACATTGCTGGGTACCACGCCGTCTCCAGGCTAGCCAGGGCCGCAGACGTCTAAACATGGTCGAAACAATCAAAATCGAAACAACAACAATACTAATAACAACAACAACAACAACAACAACAACAACAACAACAACAACAACAACAACCATACTCATTCTCCTCATGCTACCTCCTCTTCCTCTACCTCGGTCTATTCTTCTGCCTATTCTTCTCCTTCGTCATCTTCTTCTCCGTCTCCTTCCTGTCGCCCCACTCGTTGTCACCAGACTGGCAGGGTGAGCGCGCTCACTCTGGCAGCCTGGAATGTTCGTTCCCTTTTAGACAATCCGAGGAGCAACCGACCGGAGCGGAGGACAGCGCTAGTGGCACGAGAACTGGCGCGCTACAAGGTGGACATCGCCGCACTCAGCGAGACCCGTTTCTCCGAACAAGGCCAACTGGAGGAGGTAGGTGCCGGCTACACCTTCTTCTGGAGCGGTCGACCCAGGGCAGAGCGACGAGACGCGGGCGTCGCCTTCGCCATTCGGAACGACATCGTGGGACGACTGCCCTGTTTGCCGCAGGGCATCAACGATCGCCTGATGAGCCTCCGCCTGCCTCTCTGGGGAGGCAAATTCGCCACCATCGTCAGCGCCTACGCTCCGACGATGACCAACCCCGACGCCGTCAGAGACAAATTCTACGAGGACCTGCACGCCCTCTTGGCGATTGTGTCGAAGGCGGACAAGTTGATTGTCCTTGGCGACTTCAACGCCCGCGTCGGCACAGACCATACTGCCTGGAGGGGAGAGCTGGGTCCTCACGGTCTCCGCGGCTCAAACGACAATGGTCTGCTGCTTCTCCGCACCTGCGCAGAACACCGCCTCATGCTGACGAACACGTTCTTCTGTCTGCCGGAGCGAGAGAAGGCCACCTGGAGGCATCCTCGGTCGCGTCAGTGGCACCTGCTGGACTATGTCCTCGTCCGGAGGCGAGATCAGCGGGACGTGCTGGTGACGAAGGCGATCGCGGGTGCTGACGGGTGGACCGACCATCGCCTCGTCATCTCGAAGATGCGTATTCGCCTACAGCCTCGCAGGAGACCACAAGGTAAGCGACCCCCAGGTAAGCTGAATGTTGCCTTGTTGTCTTTGCCCGCTCATCATCTCCATTTCAGCAATGAGCTAGCTCAACGGCTAGACAACCTTCCTATCGCTGCCGCCGACGACGCCGCCGCTGCCGAGAACGCCTCCGTGGAGAACCGCTGGTGTCAACTGCGAGACACGGTCCAGTCGACGGCGCTCGCCGTCCTCGGTCGCGCTCCCCGCCAACATCAGGACTGGTTCGACGACAACGATGTTGCCATCAGAAATCTGCTTGCCGAGAAGAAACGCCTACACAAAGCCTACGTAGATCACCCCACTGATGCCACCAAAGCTGCCTTCTACCGCAGTCGCCGCCAACTTCAGCAACGACTGCGCGAGATGCAGGACGCCTGGACTGCTCGCAAAGCTGAGGAGATCCAAGGGTACGCGGACCGCAACGAATGGAAGAACTTCTTCTCTGCGATCAAAGCTGTCTACGGTCCGCCGACGAAGGGCACTGCTCCTCTCCTCAGCGCCGACGGCAACACTCTCCTGACTGAGAAGACGCAAATCCTGCAGCGATGGGCCTAGCATTTTCGAGGCGTCCTCAACCGCCCCTCCGTCATCTCCGACGCCGCCATCGAGCGCCTGCCGCAAGTGGAGACCAACGTGGACCTCGACCTCCCGCCATCTCTCCAGGAGACCATCAGGGCCGTGCAGCAGCTGTCCAGCGGGAAAGCACCCGGATCGGACGCGATCCCTGCTGAGGTCTACAAGTACGGTGGTCCCCAACTAATGGATCACCTGACTGCGCTCTTCCAAGAGATGTGGCGTCAAGGTGAAGTCCCGAAGGATTTCAAAGACGCAACCATCGTGCATCTCTACAAGCGCAAAGGGAATCGCCAAGTCTGCGACAATCACCGCGGCATCTCCCTGCTGAACATCGCCGGGAAGATCTTCGTACGAATCCTCCTCAACCGCCTCAATAACCATCTGGAACAGGGCCTTCTGCCGGAAAGCCAATGCGGCTTCCGTTGTCATCGTGGGACCACGGATATGGTCTTCGCCGCCCGTCAACTTCAGGAGAAGTGTCAGGAGATGCGGACCCACCTGTACTCTACCTTCGTGGACCTGACGAAAGCCTTCGACACGGTGAATCGTGAAGGACTGTGGAAGATCATGCAGAAATTCGGCTGTCCGGAGCGATTCACTCAGATGGTGCGTCAGCTGCACGACGGTATGATGGCGCGAGTCACGGACAACGGAGCTGTCTCAGAGGCATTCGCAGTGACCAATGGAGTGAAGCAGGGCTGCGTACTGGCGCCTACCCTCTTCAGTCTTATGTTCTCGGCCATGCTGATGGACGCCTACCGCGACGAACGCCCCGGGATCCGCATCGCCTACAAGACGGACGGTCACCTCCTGAATCAACGGCGGATGCACTTCAAATCGCGCGTATCCACAATCTGACGCGCTTGAAGCTATCACGGTGCGCTAAAAGCCGTGGCTTGGAAGGTTGCCAACTGACGGGGTACCTTGGACCTCCTCCTTCACTGGAGGCGGTCTGAGAGTCAGGCTGCAATGGCTTCTTTTTAATGTGGCCTTTATGGCATCCCCACCACAGTGTGGGATCCGAGCCAGGCGTTGGCGGCACGCCCAGGTGCGGCTTCGGCCGTGCCAGCCTCCAAATCTCTGTTGTGTTGGTTGAAATCCTGGTTATTGTTGTGTGGACCAGGGGGTGTGGTGGAACGCCAAGGTGAGGATCCGTCCGAGCCATCCACCTGCGGCCTCCCTCGTCTCCGGTCTTCTTGACTCTGTCTTGACACCGGGCCCAGGCGGGGGAGGAGGAGAGAGTGTAGGTAGATGCTACGCAAGTCTACTGGCACTATAAACCCCTGCGTAAGTCACCGTCCCTGCTGCAGCTGTGGGGCACACGGTGGACATCGTCAAAATCGACGGTCGAACTGTCATCCACAACCACCGTGCACGAACTCCTCTTCGCCGACGACTGCGCCCTGAACACCACCTCGGAAGAGGAGATGCAACGGAGCATGGACCTGTTCTCCGCCGCCTGCGAGAACTTCGGTCTGGTCATTAACACGCAGAAGACGGTGGTGATGCACCAACCGCCACCCAACTCAGCCCCCAACGCGCCGCCGCAAATCAGCGTGAATGGGACCCACCTGCAAGTGGTGGAGAACTTCCCGTACCTGGGCAGTACTCTCTCCCGCAACACCAAGATCGACGACGAAGTCGCCAACAGGATCTCGAAAGCCAGTCAAGCCTTCGGTCGCCTCCAAAGCACAGTTTGGAATCGCCATGGTCTCCAACTGAGCACGAAGCTGAAGATGTACAAGGCCGTCATCCTGCCGACGCTACTGTATGGAGCCGAGACTTGGACGGTGTACGCAAAGCAGGCACGTCGTCTGAACCACTTCCACCTCAGTTGTCTTCGTCGCATCCTGAGGCTGAAGTGGCAGGATCGAATCCCCGACACTGATGTGCTGGAACGGACGGGAATCCTCAGCATCTACGCCATACTGAGGCAAATGCAGCTGCGCTGGAGCGGCCATCTGGTGCGCATGGACGACGAGCGACTACCCAAACGACTCTTCTACGGAGACGTCGCGACGGGTTCTCGCCGTCAAGGAGGCCCAATTCGTCGATACAAGGATACCCTGAAGTCCTCCTTGAAATGCCTGCAAATCAACCCCACCAACTGGGAGGAGCTAGCACTCGATCGACCGACCTGGAGGAGGACAGTGAAGACAGGCGCTGCGATCTACGAAGCCAATCGCATCGCTGCCGCCAAAGCGAAACGTGAAGCCCGCAAATCACAACTTCGCCCAGTAAGCAACGCCGCCGCACAACCGCTTCCAACGTGTCCTCGATGTCAACGGACATTCCGGGCTCGAATCGGACTTGTTGGACATCTTCGAACCAACTGCACCTCTCGAACTGCTCCAGCCATCGTCCCCGCGCCCGCCT